CTGCTGCTGCCGCAGCTCCAAATCCAGGGAAATACGTCCCTAAGTTCAGGCGAGAGAGAACTGAAAGCACAGGAGCTGCTCCTCCCCCTGAAACAGACCGCTGGAGTAACAGCAGGCCAGATGGTGGGTGGCGTGGTGATGATCGTAGAACCTCGTTTGGTTCTGGTGGGGGTTCAAGGTCATCTTCTACTTGGTCATCTTCTAGGAATGCCCGTTGATCATTTTGTGCCCTTATTTATTGCTGGTGACTTTTGGGAGTTCTTTGTACTTTTCCCAGTTTAGGTTCCAGAATTCTTTTTGATGCCGAGTTCTTAAATTTATTATCTTTTTATTGCGCACGAAGTCCTCTGTTGGGTTGAGGAACATGCCAAGAAAATTTTCTATTTATGATCGAGTGGATTGCATATGGTAATCGAAATTTTAATTTAGACGAGTACTTCCGACTTATATTATCTACTTGTTGGTATTTAGTTTGGCAATCGTAGAACTAGAAAGTGATCTGTAGCCTTAGTTTGTGGTTTTGTATTCAGCTTTACTTATATTTGATATTCGAAACCTGTCGTTGCCATTAATTTCTAGTGTATTTGAAATTTGACATCCATTGCTCCTGCGCCTGGAGAAAAAAAACGAAAAATCGAAGAGAAAGATGAGAGTAAGCCAAGTTTTAAAGTGAGATAGAGGCTGAAGAGGATTCCGCTGTACTGGAACCAGAATTCCAGATCCCGAATATTCATGAATCTGTTTTTTAATCCTGGGATATGCAATATGTATGAGTAATATTCAGTAGAATATAGGACTAACCTAAAAGCTAGGCGTTGCTATTTAGGCAAGTGAATCTAATGATAACGAACCCATCATTCTTCCTCGTAGAACTGTCCTATTCCTGTATACATTTTTATTATTGAAAGAATGGTCATTGCCTTACTTTCCAATGGTAATAGTAGACACTGTTCCAACTTTTCTAGTCCAAAATTTATTTTTCATGATCCATATTTTATACACTAACTAATATTCAATCCAAATAATAAATTCACAAGCTACTTGGGTTTGTCTTGGTAAATGTGTAAGGACTTTTTTTTTCTTTTGGTTCGTTCCTGAAGTATTAACTGCCGATAGCAGTGATTAATCTCCTTGTTATGTTGGAGGCACCTTGGTGGGATAGCTGGTCCTAAGATTTAACGCGGTTGCATACACAAGGCAAGATTCGAACTTCTGATCTTGTTTAAGCGTGGATCAACCCTTACTACTAAACTACACGCTTGGGGTTAAATGTGTAAGGACTTGAGTTCCTTGTCTTTGTAATATTTTTTTTATGAATAAAAAAATACTAAATCAACAAGTTATATGGAATTTCATTCTTTCTTCCAATAAAATTACATAATAAAGGAACTTTTCTTACATAATTATTTTGGAATTACGATTTATTTTTATACTTAAAGTTATGATTTCTAATAAATTTTAATCTACAATACTGAAGAGGGATTGATAATATTCTTATATTAAATATTAGGTAAAATTATTTTATATAGTCAATTAATTATGATATATATATATATATATATATAAATAAATAAAACTGTTTTCCTATTATCTAGATAGTAGAATGGCTATAACTCAAGCAGGTTAAAAAAAATGTATAATATAATTATGAGTGTGGTTTTGTATCATTTGTTCTAAATTTTATTTTATTTTATTTAATGTTGCTTTTAAAAAAAAATTAAGTATTCATTTGAATCAAATAAGATGGATTAAATAAATAAATAAATAAGCACGTGTGTATAATAAAGGATGTTACATTAATAATTCATTTTTGCGACTGCTGTTTTGATATTAATGGCTTCTGACTGCTTATGTCACTGCATTCTGAAATTCCAGCATGCATTGTCTATGGATTTCAACATGTCCCTTCACCTCAACAGGGATTCAGTTTTTCAGTTTCAAAATGCATCTTTAAGATATACTGTTTAATTCATAAAGATATGTCTTGCTGTTAAAGTTTGGTGCTGTTGAAGACATAAAAATAGTAGATGACATGACATAACTACTTTCAGTTTGAATGAATATATTTTAGAGTTTTGGTCATAGTCATACTCAAGTTTATCTTAATTTGCAGGAAAGTTCTATTTTCCTGTCCAAACTATTGCTTCCCCATATATTTGAGAAACTGGGTATGCAAGAGTTAAGAGCTCTTGTTGCAGATCCAAAGAGATCTCGAATGACGGGTCCTTTGCCTCAATGACGCTAGACGCTAAAAGAATGATGTCGGGTGTGAGTTGTTAAATGAAAGTTGGTTTGTATGATTATAGTTCATTATGCATTGATCTAGAAAGTCTAAGTAGAAAATTGTTTATTTTCTATTTTTGATATTGAAAAAAAAATTTACATGTATGCTTTTAAATTTTTTATAATAAATTATTGCATATTAAAAATTTATTCTATATATATTAAAAAAAATAGTTGCATTTTAATCTTTCATGCATGTTCATCTCATGTTTAAAAAACCACTCCAAGACTAGTAGATTTTTGCCTCATACAAATACCAAATTGGTGTGAACTTTGTGCACGCACTGAGTAACAATTTTGTCCGTTATTAATTTAGAGCTACTTTTTTAATATAATTTTGTCTAAAGTTATCCTTATTTTTATTTTGACTTAACAACACACATTAGATCAAATCCAATCTCAACTAAAGTTTTAGTAATTTTAGTTTTCTTTATTTGGATTTCCATATCTCCACCAAAGTTAGTTTTATTTTTCTAAATTTTCATACAAGTGGTTATCAAGAAATGCGCATTTAATACATTGGACAATACGTCCATTAATTCTTAAAACTTAAGTACGATATCACATTCTACTTAATATGAAACTCCTAACATTATCACTACTCATGATTATATTAGATAATGATTCAATATTAGGCTTAGATCAATTAAGTTATCCTATTCTAATTTGACCAATCAATTTGAGCTGATTTTTAAAACTATATAATACACATACATATTTACAAAATTTTATTATAACATTATTTTTTAGAAGAAGGATTTTATTAATTTATAATTTTAATTTTCTTAAAATACACCAAAAGTTTAGTATACTAAAATACATGTTTTATGTACAGGAAAAAATACTCGTTTTTTTTAGAAAGGATATTTTATCAAGTTATAATTTCAAATTTCTTAATAAAATATACTAAAATTATAACTTACTAAAATAATTTTTTCTAAAATCAAATAAGTGTATGTTAGCAAATGTTTATAGGATTTGCTAACATGTATCCACTTATTTTCTGTAAGAAATATTGATAAATGTACAACATGTAAATATGTAGATTTTTATAATTTTTTTTTACATGTTTTAATGCACAAACCGAATGAAATATTGTGAGAAAACAATCAATTTGCATATATTTTCTTGTGATTCATCTTTTGAATGGTTTAAATAGAAAAGGAATGCGCACTACAATAAAATGAACTTTTAGTGGCAATAAAAATCGTTACAAAATATTTTATCGGCATTTCACACATTAGTCATTGTATGCAGTGTCGCTAAAACATTTACCGACAATAATTTTATATATAATTTTATATGCTAGTAAAGACCCTCATAATGGTCGGGAAAAATGTATAACTTTTTGTGTCATTTGTTACTAGCATTTAAAATTGCCGCTAAAAGTTTAAAGAAAAGATTTATAATACTCTTTAATTATCTTATTTCTAGTCGATCTATGACTTGTAAGATGAGTACAAATACTCTTTAGTTACCTTATTTTTAATTGATGTGGGACTTAGAAGATGAATGTTATCTTCTAAGTATATATTCTTTAATTTTTTAATTATCTTATCTCCTAAATATCAACTTAGAATAGTAAGTTATAGGTCTAACTCAACCTTATAAAACATATTTGTAAGGTGAGAGTTATCATTCACTTATATACTCTTTAATTATTTTATTTCTAGTCGATGTGGAACTTAATTTTTTTCTAACAAATAATTGTCGCTAATAGTAAATTTTGATGTGATGTAAATACATTTTTAGTGACCATTATATAATAGTCATTAATATTTTTATTAAATAATAAAATAGAGGCAATTAATTTATTATTATTAAATAATTATCGATAATACTAAATTTTGTTATAGTGACGATTTGCACTAATTTTCTTAAATTTTTAATGCAAAAAATGAATAATATAGTACAATATTTAAAATTTTAGACATATTTTTCTCCTTATTTAGGTCAGAACTCGTAGTTTGGTAATGTAATTGAAGTGATATTTGTTTCTATGAAAATCTTAAACATATATCTATATTTGTGAGAGAGTATGATTAAATTTAATCATATAGTAAATTGAGCTTGAAGTTAACATATTGTTTTGACAACCTGACATATGTGTAGTATTTTAAATATATCTTGAGTTGTAAACATTCAAAAATTAGTGTTTTACATATACCTTAATACTTACATTTTTTCTTTGTTGTTTCTTCATTCTTGCCAAACCATCACCATCAATGATCGATTTATTCTTTGACATTTCTTCGTTGTTGTAGAATCATCACCACCAATTAATTTAATCAATAATTCATGCATTTGTTTTATTTTAGATAATTCTTCACTTGTTGCAAAACCATTACCACCGGTTACACCAACTAATTTTAGGTTTGAATATCATTCAATAAAAATTGTTCCAAAACATAAGTTGTTATCATTTTTCATAGTACACCTGTATTATATATATAGTTATAGGAGTTGACTTAAGAACAGAAAAAGTAGAGGTGGTTCCAAATTGAGGTGTGATGGAATATGGATGTACTGTATATATCAAAGTAGTGGAGTGTGAGTGGCAACGTCAATATTTGAATGACGATCGATCAACCTCGTCTTGCCTTCTATTATATGCACTTTGACTAGACCACAACTGTTGTCGGTTGTGTTTCCTACTACTCCCAAACTTTTTCATTTTTCTTTTCATAGCTTATTCATGTCTCTACAAATTATAATAAGCCAGTCATTATCTCATTAATTGGGATGGAAATTTTTTAAACAATTTTAAAAATTACCATTTCGTATTTGCTTAAATCAAACTTTATATATATATATATATATATATATATATACATAATATTTTTAAAGTTGCAAATAAAAATCTTTTAAAAAGTTAATCAATTTGAAACATATTTAAAATCTTCCAATAATATTTTCTTGAGTAATTAAAAATTAGTCGTTATCGATTCATTTATTTGTAAATAATGAGTTGTGTAAAATAAAATGTAAATAATGAAATTATATATATATATTGGATAGCCATAATATAAATATGTAATTTGATAAAATTCTAATATCTATTATGAAAGTCAATGGTATAAATATGTAGCTTGATAAAATATTCTTGATTAAAGATCAAAGTTATTGATCTTCAACTTGAGTATAGAATTGCGGTTAGAAAATTACCATTTACTCTTATACTTAAAAAGGAAAATTCGTAATATATGTTACACTCTCTCTCTCTCTTTCTTCTTCCTTCAAATAAATATATAGTATTTCGTCAGTGAACTTGGTCAATCAATTATTACCTCTCTTTATTTTTGTCTGTTACCTTAGAAATATACCGCTACAAATTGTGAAACGTAATTCATATTTTTTTTCCCTAATAAACACGGTTGTTTATATATATATATATATATATAAATATATAAACAATGTCATAATTTTATATACATAATTGTTGAACTGTTTTATCTTTATATATAAGGTATAGTCTAACTCACTCACTTACATTTTCTTCTCCAAACTATTATCACTTCTTAAATAATTACCTATTTTATTACTTTTATTTTCTATTATATTATTTTGTTTTTTATAAAATATAGAGAACACGAATTAATTTTTTTACGCAAATTTATTAAAAGTATAGTTAAAAATTAAATAAAGATAAGATCATATAATTGAAAAATAATAATTAATATTTCCTTAAAATTTTAATTAAATAAATATTCTTTTAAAATTTTGAGCAAATTTTATTTTAAGTATAATTAAAAATTAAATAAAGATGAATTCATATAATTGAAAAATGATAATTAATATTTCCTTAAAATTTTAAATAAATAAATATTCTTAAACATGCAAACAGTGTATAGCTGCTATTTAAAAAAAGGGGGAAAAACTTGAAAAGCAAGGAAGAGAAAAAACTTCAAGTACATATAATGTAAAAATAAAATAAAATTTGCATTGAAAAAGTGTATTTATTTATTTTTCGTGTAATTTTATTTTAGTTTTTAATAAAAAAGTTATATATTTATTTCTTAACCGGTGCTCTTTAGACATTATATAATGTACAATAATACACATGTTTTACACTATCATTTTACTACATATTATCATAAATAATAAGTTTGTTCGTAAAATATTAATGGTCATATATACATTACTTTTACATTATTAATTAATCAAAAATATCATTGACATATAACTTAAATTTATGTTATTTATTATAAAAGTTAATAAATTTACTATACTGATGATATAATAATATAAAATTACTTTCCGTTATCGATACATAACATATTTTTCTCAAAAACGATATTCATTGATAGTGTAGATCATTCGCACTCATAATCAATCATTAAATTACAATATGTGATAAGTTTGTTTGTGACAAGTGTATTGTTCGAATATGATAACAATCACAAAAACTAATTTTTAACAATAAAATGTTTTATATTAGTGATGCATATCCACTAAAGTTTTAAAAATAAATACCTTTAAATATCACACCAAAGATAATTTCTATTTAGTTAATTATATATATATATATATATATATATATATATATATATAATATCCTCTTAACAGATAATATATAATCAAAACAAAACCTATAAGAATATATAAGTTTAATACGCTAATATTCAATTTATGAGTTGAGCAATCATTATCATTATATAAAACCAAATCAGAATGTAAATATTATTATACTCACTAAAAACAAACTAAACCAGGATGTCCTTGGATAATTAGTGTTCTTTTTTAAAATAAAATTTCAATTGTAAGTTTTATAAATTAAAAAATAATTTAATTTAATTTAATAAGTTTGTTGATTTGACTTAAATTAGTATGATTTGAAAGAAACCTAGAGGTAGAAGATAGGATTAAAAATAATTAATTGGAGGGTGAGTTGGACAACTGAAACACACATATCTTTGTAGACTAGCCATGGAGATGGAGGCACCCCGTGAACAAAAT